CTACTTTCATGTCCGCAAAGCCATCAGGAAGCACGTACGTATCATTTAATATCCATGTATTTTTGGTCATAGACACATTCTGTGAACAGCCGGCACATATTTCACCGCATGGCTCGCCTGGATAATGCTGTAAAGTAGGTTTTATGTTCATCATATTACAAGCTCACAGATTCCGACAAGATCTACAGCTTCTGCGCCGAAACGATCCCCGATTTCTCTCCTATCTTACGGTTCGCTGGTTGTACATCACCCGAAAATGGGCCATACAGGCACAGTCCGGAATGGTTCATTTCGGTGTTGTGACCAACAACCGACTGGTGAATGCGAACGGGCGCCTTAAAGATCGGGTGCACCACTCCGACACGTTGGAGCATACCATTCAAGAGGTGTCCCGACAATCCGAGTGGCTCATGCGGGAGTTTCAGATGCATACGTCGTACCACTGTGCCATGCGATAGATCCTGGAGAGTGACGCCTACGTTCTAAACGCAGTATGTCGAATGACGACATATGCATGCTCTCTCGTTTTGAGGCACTTGGGTCCGCGACCGCCGCGGCTGCCGTATGAAAGTGTCGGAACAAACAAGGTGAGGTCGAGCTACGTAAAATAACCTATAGTTTGTGGTGCAAACACCCAGATGCTCCCAGACTGTCGACACCTGTGCTGGAGAAGGCACATGCCCTTTCTATCAGGCGATGTGGCTCCCTTGCGTACACCTGTTCCCTGTATTTCGAGATCAGTCCGTTCCGAGCAGTAAGAACTATTCATCATTGTGTTTTTCCTAGCTTGCTCTGCAATCCACCAGCGTTGCGTCAAGCCTCAAAGTCTGCAACCGACGACCTGCCGTTGGTGGTCGAGGATACTGCACCTCAACCCAGATGGCGATCTGGAAAAGCTGATTTAGGATTCTGTGTGCTCTGTGACCGGCCTACTACTACCAGCGACCGCTAGTGTACAACGGATCGCGTGTCACATCACGCCGACTGTTGTGACAGTGAACCCTGCCCACTGTGTGGTGGTGCTCTTCAGGCCTGTCCCAAAGGCGAGTCCACATGAAAATAAATCACTTTTGATTCTTAGCTCCGGGCCGATCCCGAAAACCCAAAGGTGCGCTTGCTACCCGGTCCGCAAAGAGGGCGTATTATGATGTTGACCTGGACCGAAGCACAGATGCCCAGCACATTGTGCCCCGTAAGTCTGTGTGCGTCCGTGTTTTCGGATCCACAGAGGAACTACTCGACAGCCGTGGGCCAATGTCTGACAACTA